CTTAGTCATTTCAATACTTACCCATTCGGGGTGTTTTTTCAGCTTTTGAGTGTCCTGAGTTCTTTAATGTATTAATACTCATTCAGATGCATACCTCACTATGAATATTAATTCTTTGGAAATAACCGCCAATCAAGTCTTTCCTTTCCTGTAAAAAAGCTTTCAATTTCATAAAAATACATTTCTCAACTTTTAGTATATGTCATTTATACTTGATATTTCTTTTTTAGTGTCTTGTGTTGACCACCTATTAGTAACAGTGTGGTACTTAAGTCACCCATTATCATTATACTGCAGCTAATCTGTGTCTCTTTATCCTTTAGTGTTTAGGAAATTGGGGGTGCTGATGATTGATGCACATGTGGAGAATTCTATTATTGTCCTCTGTAGAGATTGTTTCCTTAATACAAAAAATTATCTTCATTTCTTCTGATGAATTCAGGCTTGAAGTCTATTTTATTAGACATCAGTATATACACCTGCTTGCTCTCTAATAGCATGTGCTTAGCGAACCGTTTAAAGTCCTTTCACTTCAAGCATATGATTCTATTGCCAGGTGGGTTTTTTAAGTTAAAAAAATATTTTTTTGGTTTATTTTGACAGGACAATTGAAAGCATCATGATATGGAGTTAATATTAAAACAGGTGTATGAACTCTTGACATTTCTTTTTTAAAAAGAAATGTGTATGAGTGTTATGCCTGCATGTAGGTAAGCGCACCCATGTCGTGCAATGCCTGTGGAGGACAGAAGAGGCTGTCCTGTTCCCTGGAACTGGAATTACTGTTGGTAGCTGTCATGTGGGTGTGGGTTTTGAACCGGCGTCTTCTGCAAGAGCAGTCAGTGTTCTCAACCGCTGAGCCATATCTCCAACCCGAAATGTGTATGAGTGTTATGCCTGCATGTAGGTAAGCGCACCCATGTCGTGCAATGCCTGTGGAGGACAGAAGAGGCTGTCCTGTTCCCTGGAACTGGAATTACTGTTGGTAGCTGTCATGTGGGTGTGGGTTTTGAACCGGCGTCTTCTGCAAGAGCAGTCAGTGTTCTCAACCGCTGAGCCATATCTCCAACCCCGGCATTTGTTTTCTAATGCTTGATTCTATCTTAACACTCACTTATTTGCTGTGCAAATGTGGCTTACTCCATTTCCCTGTGTCCTCATGTATGTATTTATTCATCTTTCTCTTCAGCATGCAGAATTCCTTGAAGTATGTTGTGTAGCCCTGGATTACTGGCCATGGAAGGTTGCTTTTTCTCCTTTAGTCATGAAATATAGAATTATAATCAATTATGTGATTGATTTCAGAACTTGAAATAAATTGTTCTTTATCATCCTTGCCGTTAGGCTGTCTGTTGAGAAATCTTCTCTTATTCGGATGGGTTTCCCATCGTAAGTTGGTGCTTCTCTCTTTTCAATATCCTTTGTTCTGTAAAATTACTTTTTAACCATAAGAGGAAATGGGGAGTTTCTATTAGGTTCTTGTCTATTTGTCATTCATAATGCCTCTTGATCTTGATGGGGAAGAAAAGTAGTTGGCAAAGATATTAAAAAAGAAACCCCTGAATATCATCAAATCTATTCAAGATCTATAATGGTGTTAGCTCTTCTATGAGTCTGATAATGATCTTGAATTCCGAATCCT